AAATCCAAAACAATATTTCTCCCTCTACCTAGTATGACCTCTGTTTCACTCCCTTCTCTTTAATTTCCAAATCTCAAAACCTCAAAAAGAACATCAGTTGAGCAGCTTTTACTAATAAACCTCCAAATACATGAAATAGCTTGCCAGAGAATGTTAAATCTGCCACCAGTCTGCAGTCCACGAAAACATCTGCATCCATCTACGTTCAATCGAAAAGCAATTGTAGTCATTGTTTAATTTATAACTGTATCGCATATGTCTCTGACGTTTTACTGTGAATTTATTATTGTACCATGTATGTCTCCTATTAAATGTATCCATTGTATTCGTATGTTCTCCCCAGGACTTAATTGTAAAAAAGTGAAATCTTAATGTATCCTTACTAGTGAAATATTTTATAAATAAATGACTAACACTACATTTCTGATCAAGTAATAGAGTCTATTTTCACTGTAGTGCTGGAATAGATGTTTAAGGGGACCACACACCCTCCCCCTAGGAAAGCATTGGGAGGCTAATGCACGTGCGCGGCAAAACGCCATGCTGCACCAATCAGTATCTCCTCATATAGATGCATTGAATCACTGCATTTCTTTGGGGCGTGTTCAGCTAAGGACACACCTCTTCTACATTAAAGTGTTGTAGTGGATGATGAATTTACTTAAGTTTTCATCATTGCTGCGCTTGTCTAGCCTTGGCTGACTCTGCCTCTGGTCTTCACTCTTGATGATCCTATAGGAAAGCATTGTAAGTCTATTGCGCATGCGCGTGAAAATGCCCCTCGGCTCCAAATAGCATATCCTCATAGAGGAGCATTAACTCAATGCATCTCTATGGGGAGCATTCTGCATCTCCATGCAGAGCGTGGAGACACTGAACGTAGGACTAAGAAGGCTTTTCACTGTAAATGCAACCTTTTCAGACAAAGGCAGTGTTTACATTGCTGCCTAGTAACACCTCTAGTGGCAGTCACTCAGATGACCACTAGAGGTGTTACTAGGCGCCAATGTAAACACTGCCTTTCTCTGAAAAGGTCGCATTTACAGTGAAAAGCCTGCAGGGACAGGCTATAGACCCCAGAATTAGTACATTAAGCTGTTGTGGTTCTGGTAACTATAGTGTCCCTTTAAGTGCACGTAGAGACCTAAATGGTGTATAATGAAGAACTGAACTCTGTTTTAGGATGATCTTGGGCATACCAGACATACCTCTTCCACACACCTATCTGAAATAATTGCCATCAAATTTCTGCCCCCATCCTATTTTTATGATGTACGCAGATTTAATTACTTCTAAAAATATTTTTATAACTTAATTCATGAACTTCTGTAAATAAAAAACAAATCTATATGTTAGTGGATTCATGTTTTACCATTCATCACAGCTGTGAGTGCAGCCAATCTGTTTATAACCTGAATATGATCATTTAAAATGGTTGTTCAGACCATTCTGTTAATACAACATGTAAAATACAGTAGCAGGAAACGTCTGGCTGTCGTATCCCGTTTAGTATTGTGATTTGGGACCCTGAGCAGACATACCTTACAGTTTTGAAACCGTGTGTGGTAATTTAAAGCAGTATGATCAAAGTTTCCTGCAAAAAAAAAAAAAGAATATTTAATCTATTAGACATTAAATTGAAATCAGTTTTTAACTAATAGCAATAAATTGTGCAAATGAAATATTTGTTGGGATGCCACGGAGCACACAGAAGGGTAGAATTTCTGAAATGCAGCATTTTAACATTTGCAAATCAGGAACTTCCAAATGCTACAGAAAAACCCCCCAACAAAAATAGTGATGACATATTACTTACAAATATAGATAGGCTAAATCAAGAGAAACCATATTCTGACCTGTTAGGTATAGTGCTGAGTTGTTTATAAAAAATAATGGTAAATGTATTAAATTAAAGTTGTGCTTCAAATACAAAATATGCCTTTAAATAGTTTTTTTACTCTGTAACAAAGGAGGATGGAGAGAGATATAACATAGAAACATAGAATGTGACGGCAGATAAGAACCATTCGGCCCATCTAGTCTGCCCAATTTTCTAAATACTTTCATTAGTCCCTGGCCTTATCTTATAGTTAGGATAGCCTTATGCCTATCCCACGCATGCTTAAACTCCTTTACTGTGTTAACCTCTACCACTTCAGCTGGAAGGCTATTCCATGCATCCACTACCCTCTCAGTAAAGTAATACTTCCTGATATTATTTTTAAACCTTTGCCCCTCTAATTTAAGACTATGTCCTCTTGTTGTGGTAGTTTTTCTTCTTTTAAAATATGGTCTCCTCCTTTACTGTGTTGATTCCCTTTATGATATTGTAAAGCGCTACGGAATCTGTTGGCGCTATATAAATGGCAATAATAATAATGTATTTAAATGTTTCTATCATATCCCCACTGCCTCGTCTTTCCTCCAAACTATACATGTTAAAATGTAATATGTAAAATGTCCATTGTTAATTAGAGTTGCTAATCTTGGAGTTAGTAATCACAAAGAATTGTTGTCCCTTTTTTCCTGTAAAATGGTAAATTGCATCTTACTAGCAATTTAGGGACAATATACATGTTTCAATGTTTGCATAAGACATAAAAGTGCATGTGTTCTCTTAATAGGTTCATTTAGGTTAGAATCCAGCCTAAAGTTGTTTTTTTGCTGCATACATTATATTATTTTGTTTTACTGTAAAGTGACTTTCTTTAGTCCTTTGTATTAAAACTACACAGAATTAAAGCTTTTCATTCCTTTTTTTTAATCCCAAAAGATTTGTCATGTGTATTATTTGGAGAAGCAGGCATGCAATGTGTGCTTCCCGTGCACTTGTGATGGCCCTTTGGTCAACATTGTGATAAGATGTTCCTTAGACATAAGCATAACCAGAATAGATTCCGTTAAATCATTCAAGATGACGGAATCAGCAGATGAAACTCACTGGGTTCCTGTATAATAATCCACTTCTCCTCTGCTCTTTTCAATCCATGCCCAGATGAGGGTCTGAAACATGCCACCGTTATAGATCGTCATATCAAAAGCCTTCTCTAAGCCCAGCTGCGGGATACTTTTATATAATTATGACACCCTTACAAAGAAGAAGTGTCTCCATTTTCCATTGACTACAACAGCGCACAGTTGAACTTTGGGTGATCTATATAACCATGCTTCTGTCATCTACGTACCTTGCTTTAATTAATCTGCTTTGTTTGCCCAGTGAACACATTTTCGACACATTTTTTTAAATCTACATCTGTAAATAATATTTGTTAATAATATAGCTAATAGAAATCACACTTAAAAATCGAAAGCGTATGCCAATTTACGCACATTGAAAGTGTAGCTGAATTGCTGTTTTGTTCAAAATTTAGCAAATAGTATTTTAAAGTCATTATTCCATTATTAATAACAAACCCATTTAGGTGTTGATCCATATGTTCTGTGTATATGTGTGTGTATCTATAAATATATATATATATATATATATATATATATAGTGATTTTCTATTTGCTTTTAGCAGATGTATATATGTTTAGTACTTTGATACAGACTAATCTTTTTTTTTTTTTTACAAATACTGGTTTTCAACAAAATCCTTGGATTTAAAGCTAATAGGATAAATGTCTTAATCTTAAACTTAACAGCTTAATTTCTGTTTCAAAAATTGTTACAGTTTTATTCCATGCTGTGATATTTATTACTTCTCTGTCTGATGAATATTTTCAGATATTGCAGTTTAAAATCGTGGCATTATGTTTCCTGTTTAAATTAGGAAAACAAAGTACACAGGTTTCTGCATTTTACTGTTAAAAAAATATAAAATTCAGAGTTTTGTATAAATTGATCATTCCAACATGATCCATGTGTATAAGGATTTCTAATTGGTACCTTTTCACATTACAGCTCTCTGTTGTAATAGTTGCTACTTTTTAAGATCAGATAATTGAAGTGCTGCAATAAGGTGATATGTGCTCTTTATTTGTACACATTGTCCTTAAAGGAAAACTCCAGGCACCATAACAACTTAATCAGAATTAAGTTGTTATGGTGACAGGAGGTCCCTGGTGCTGGCTCACCTCTCAGCCAATTAGTGACTCCCCATTGATAAAACTGGCTTGAAAAAAAACATACCTTTTTCAAGCCAGGTTTATGAATGGGGAGCAACGGTTTGGCTGGGAGCGCCAGCTGAAAGTCAGCTGACCGCTCTCAGCCAATCAGCGGTGACCCTGCCTGATTCTGCAGTTTAACGATTTTAAGAAAATGGAAATACAGAGAGGCCGTGAGATTTGGCACAGGAACACAGACATTAGGGTTAAACTGTTCGAGAATGGGTTAATCACTAATGGTGAGCAAGCGGCAGGGATCACCTGGCACCATAACAACTTCATTTAAATTAAATTTCTATGGTGCCCAAATGGGTTCTCTAACAAAATACCTAAGATAATTATACATCTTTTTTTTTAATTATTTTGATGCAGCTGGTACCCAGGTATGTATCTCCAGGATTTTCTTTTTTTAAAGGAACACTAACATTAAAAATACATTTAATTTTTTTTTTTAATGTTAATGTGCTCTTTAGATTAAATGCCCCACCTCAAAAAAAAGGTGGTAAACTTACTAGTAATCAAGTGCCAGGAAATCTCGGTCAGACAGCTACTCCTCTCTTGATGAAATCATTCTGATGGGTTATCTCTGCTCCATTCCAATGCTTCTCATAAGTGTTTCAATTATTGAATGACTTCATGAGGAAGTGCCTATAGTGGCTGTCTGATTAACTGTCTGACTAACAGCCACTAGAAGTATTCTGACTGACAAATGTAAACATGCATTCACAGAAACAGTCATGCTTATATTTATTAGAGTGCAGGGACAGAGCCTGTATACCAGAATATCTACATAAAGCTGTAGTGATTTTGGTGCTTAAAGGCATACTGTAGTGCCAGGAATACAAACCCTTTAAGCAGCGCCGGACTGGGAATGCAAGGCAGCCCTGGAAAAGAATGTATGCCAGCCCTATAAGTCATTGTGCCACGGTAGTGTTTGTGTGTGTGTATGTGTATATATATATATATATATATATATATATATATATACACACACACACACACTTATGTGGCACAATGACTTAGAGGGCTGGCATACATTCTTTTCCATATATATATATATATATAAAAAAAATTAAAAAATCCCCTGTACTCACGTCCAAAGTCCCACCGCCGGGCGCAAACACCAGGGCTCCAAGTAACACAAACTCCAAAATGGCAATGGCTGCTCTCCGGTCTTAGAAAAAGTTTATTAAATCACAATAAAAGCAATGACCAACGTTTCAGTCCCAGCTCGGGACTTTCCTCAGGGTCCAGAAAAAACATATATATATATAAAATTGATGTTTAAGAATTAGAATTACTCAATCTGGGGTAGCAAGACATAGTCATATTTTAAATGTTATAAAGGAATATTTAACATTCTCATTAAAGGATATATAAATATATACTTTAATTATTGGTATGTTTCTTTTTAAATTATAAATATTAGTAAAAATAAGCATACTCACATGCAGGCACATACAATCTCATTGACACAAGCACACAAGTTCACTGGTACACAGGCTCACAGGCAAGCAATCTCACTGACACACACAAGATCATTGACAAACACAGACAAGCTTTCAGGTACACACAAACTTAGTACAGACAAACTCTCTGACACACACACAAGCTTACTACAGAAAAACTCACTGGTATACACAAAGATGCTTACTACAGACAAGCTCACTGACACAAACATGTGACTTCAAACAAGTTCACTGACACACACATGTTCACTACAGACAAGCTAACTGACACACATCCTCATTACAAGCTCACTGACATAAACATGCTTACTACAGACATGCTCACTGACACACACATACATGCTCACTAGACATGCTCACTGACATACAGGGCCGCCATCAGGGCATGACAACCGCAACGGTTGTCATGGGCCCGGCGGTCCTGGGGGGCCCGTCCTGGCCCCACATTTAGTGGGTACATACCGGGTCGCAGGGGGTCCTGCGACCCCGGTATGTACCCACAGGGCCAGCCTCTTCTCCTGGGGGGCCCAGCAGCCGGTCACCTCGGGGGCCCCCCAGAGGCTGGCCCTGAAAGCCGGCCGGCGCGCGAGGGAGCACTCTCTGTGTGCTTCCTCTTCAGCTCCCTC